CAAACCATACTTGAAGCCTTAGTGCAACAAGTCTTGTGATGAAAGAGTTGCCTTGAGCGCTGTTTACTCCCCAGGCCCCCTACCTTATACTCTGCTTACAAGAAAGGAGATCAGGAATAAAAAGCGCACACTGTCACAGCAATCATTCAACACCAGCAGCAGCGAGCACTAGCTGAGGATTGACTAGCATAATTCTACATGGTAAGATCTAGACCTTCTAACAGATGGACATTAGCATCCATTATTCAGATACTAGAGCTTTTATTTGAATTCAAAGCCATAATATTATCAGAATTTCAATCTCAGACTGGTAGAGCCTGTGGACATTTTAAGAAAAAGCCAGGTGAACAAAAGAAACACCAAAGTGGGGGGAAGGAAGAGTAAAACTGAAAATCCCCAAGATATGGGAATCAATCACAACAGTTAACATTATTTGAGAACCGCAATACACACAAAAAATTAATAAATCATATTTTCTAGTTTGACATCTCAATCTGACATTTATTTTAACTTTCTACTGAGAAGTAACCTAAATATTGTTACCCCAATAGTGGTAACATTGTGATCTAATTTCTGCTGTTTAGAAAGATATTCAGCAGCTAAAAGGAGACTCGGTGCTTATTTAGTACAGCCTCCAACTCACCCTATCTCCAACTTGAATCTAGCACAGCTGGAAATCTCTGCCTGTTTTAGAACAGTATCAGCAGCATAAATCTAGTCTGGCTAAGGCATATGCAGTCAATATATCACTTTTTTTAAAAGCTTGACCATCCCATTCCTAATGTATTTTCTTAAGTGATAAAATTTAATTGTGTAGTTTTCAACGTAACTGCTGTCAAGGTTTAAAAATTTCTTCCCAGGTCTCCTACATTCCACCCTAAACTAAAATTTTCTTTTCATATGCCAAAGGCAAAAAGTACACTACAAAGTTCGTAACTCCTCATGAAATATCAATATCTGCCTTTCCAAGTCTTTTTTTCAAAGCCAAGGACACTACATTCAAATTTAATTATGTGTAAGTTAATTATACCTTTGCTTATTTTTCATACATCAAACTAGCCCCCAGTTTTTATTACATATAAACTTAAAAAAAAAGTAATAGATAACCATATATGAAATCCTGGACACTTAAAGTCAAACTCTTCTCCTCAGAATTAGCTTGCCTTTTTTTTTTTTTTTTTTATTAAAGGAATTAAAGAAATTGTCTCCCCAAATTCTAAAGTTACACTGATTTTCAGAAAGCTAATGCCAGTTCTGCTCATATTTTATTGTTTTTTTTTTAATCCATAAGATTAAAGTAAAACTGTGATTTTAAGATACATGATAACCATATAAACTGGAAACTAAAACTTAAAAATGTAATCCTAAGGAGGAAAAAAGAATTTCCAAACCACCCCTCAGAAGCAGCTAAAAATTACATTGCAAAAGGCGCCGTCCAAGATCCAGAGAGTAGACAGGAAGATCTGAAAGTCTTAATAGGGAAATTTATAGCAATCAGCATAATAGATTTGATGGGATTATTAACAGCATCGCAACAATGATGCAAAAAGACACAGATTGTTCAGGAACCATAGGCAGAGGAAGAGACAAGAGAAGCTATTTATTCATATAAAAAAGTCGAGAAAGTTTTATTTGATGTCCACAATGTAGTAGAAAATAGGTCTGATGAAAGTTCTGAAGTGATAAAGGAGGAAAGGGTGTGGGGAAGAGAAACCAAGGAAATCACACAGAACAGGGTACAGCTCTACCGTAAACTGAAGCTTACAGATCAGAAAGAAAAAACTCACCAAACCAGCACTTTAAATTTAAAGAATTGAAAAACGACTGGAAAAAAAAAATCTAAGTTTTTTCTTAATGGAGTAGAAAATGCAGAACAAAATAAATTATTATTTCTTCCACATAAGCAAAAGGAGCTTGCAGTTTCTAAAATTAATTCAAAAAATCCAACAAGGTTAGGTCTACTAGTGGTTTTTACACCTAACAGTACAGATGCAACCTCCAGTTTGGGGGTAAGGAATCAGTGAACTGCCAACTCTTAGAAACAAGGAGAAGAGTGTTTGCCATTCTTCCATTTTTGGAACTGCTAACAGGACATTGAGTTTGCTTGATTGTTAGTTGACTCATTATGACATTTCTTATTATAGGGAAGCATAAGAAAATAATCCCAAAATCACTTGCTTTCAATAAGTATTACTTGGATAATCTCTCAGGGAAGGAATATACTATCCAATACATCCCCAGTGACCTGTACCGGACAAGCTCTCCATACAAATAGTGATAAAAAAAAAGGAAGTTCAAGAGTACTAGAGCTTGCAAGACAGTTTCCTCCATTTCCAGTACTACCGACTCACTCTGATCTTAAACAAGTTTAAGTATTTCCTCAAGTTATTCACCTGTCAGGTACATTTCTGGTACATTTCTCTCTAGGAAAGCAAGAAGACCTATGTAGAACATGATGTACGGAGAAAAATAAATAACTTATTAGAAAGCTGAACTATTACATACTCCTTATTTATTTTAATATGCTATCTCTTCATTATTAACTGTAGTTTTTACACACAAGTTGCAACTTCCTTTCACACAACATTCTGGAAGCATGTCATGGCTAAAGCGAAAAACGTTGAAACAATGGCCACACATACAAGCACGGAAAAACTACCATTTAAAAAAAAAAAGTAGAATAACAACACTTAAAAAAACCTTTATTTTGGTATAAACTTTAACTATACAGCATACATTGCAAATATCTTTAATAGATGGCCTGCAACCTGTAATATGCCACTAGATGGCAAGTTTGGATTGAAATTAGCTAACGTTTTTTATTCACGGCATGTTTGAAAATTGCAAGTGGGTAGGAAAGAAAGAATTGTGAAAAAAGAGTGAAAGAGAACAAAAAAGGAAGAGTTCAATAAACTGAGTCTTCTGTATAGAGCATGTTTAATATTAGTCAAAAAGGCTAAATCGGTTTTAGTTTTGTTTCCACATCTGCCACACAAATAGATAATCAATTCTTACAAATTTACTGCTTACGGACAGGGAAGAACTTGTTTTTTATTTGGTCACAGACAGCAGCATTGGCTGTAGCAACACAAGAATCCAAGATCTAGAGGAAGGCTGAGAAGGGAAGCAGCAGAGTTAGGTCTTGGGAAAGCAGACTTCAGCTTATGCAAGGAGTTGCTAGTTAGGATTCCTTGGAAAGCAACCACAAAGGGGTTAGGGGTACACAACACATCTATAAGAAGAGGATAAGGAAGCTGGGTTCATTCAATTTGGCAAAGAGGAGGCTAAGGAGTGATTTAATAACGAACTGTAAATACTTAAGAGAGTTAAAACAACAATAGAGCCAAATGCTTCTTTGTAGTGGCAGACAATATAATAAAGCATCAACAGCCATAAACTGCAGCTTGAGAGGTTCAGGCCAGACATCGGGGGGGGGAACAAATCACTAGAATGATACAGCAGCTGGAATAGGTTGCACAGACAGGTTGTAGCATGCACCCTTGGAGGTTTTCAAGATTCAACCAGACAAAGGGCATGGTTGACCTGATCTAGTGTTGGCAACAGCCCTGCTTCAAGCAGAAAGCTGGATAGAAGCACTTCCAATAGTATTTTCGCCATTGTAAAGTGGAGACGCATCTAGCAGAGTTTAGCACACATGAAAGGGCAATCATTCCAGGGGAATAAAAAAAAAGCTCTCTGCATTTTGCCTAATTTTGATCAATTGTTGCATCCAATCCAAGTTGCTACACAAGGGCATTACTTAATGCACTGGTAGAAAGTTTTGGCAGTATCTTCAGAGACATCGAAAAAACCACAGATTTGAATTTACAGATACATCTATTAATAGTATTTTAGTCAGTTTGTCTGGATCTGCTACTGACTTGCCTGCCATACAACGAAGTCACATATCACATATTCCCAATCTGTAAATTGTGCAATGCTTATCATACCCACCTTCCAGATTAATGAAGTGTTTTGAAAAGTAGAACCTAAATCTAAAATATCATCCAAGTTATTTAAAAACATTCAGCTGTAATGTCGCTTTGTTCATTGATTGATCCTCTAGCCAAAAAAGGATGTTACATATGATACTGCTGGAAACAGGCTTCCAACAAGGAGCTTGTGTAGTTGAGTTCCCCTAAAGACAGACATCTCATTTCTGTGCTAATGTAAGGGTGGTATAGAAAAGGAGCAGAAATCAGGCAAGCATGCTAAGAGCAAGTAATGACAGCTCTATAAGGGTTGGAAACAACAACCTCAAAGAGCCTGAGTAGCCTGTATTGCTTTTTAATCACCTACTACTTCACCCCTTCGATCAATATAATACAGTTCTCATGTATTTGAAGTCATGTTTAAAAAAAAAAAAAAAAGTTAAAATTCGTGCTTTATATGTTCTTCAAAATTCTCCACAGCAATGTCTCAAATTGAGGAGGTCCAGAATAGTCAGCTGACTACTGGAATTACAAGAAGCTATTCTATTTCCAGGAAATATTACAATATCCTCAGGAATTTCTTCATTTCTTCATTGTGTAATCACACACTCTTCCCTACTCACCCAGGTCTTTCAGTTTTGATCTGCCACACCATTCTCCATAATTTGGGTTTGATCTTTTGTTGCCAGCCTAAATAGAACTTTCTATCTTGTTTTAAAAGAAAAACAAATCCTGTCTTTTAAATCAATTCTTTCTGTAGCTTACCACGGCCTTGTGTTTTGATATTGCAGAAGCATGCAAATAAGCATAAAAGTTTTTAACAGAAATATAGCAAATATATCTGAAAAGTTAACCCTGCACAATTTCCCCATGGTTAAATTCAAAACTACTACTGGCAGGTAACAAAATAGTGACAGAGTAGAAATTAAACTTTTTGCTTACCTGTAATACATATGTAAACCTCTCCCAACAAAAATACCACACAAGAAACAAGGTGTATTTAAGTGAACACTGAATTTGTCTTGTAGGGTAAATCTCAAACAACTGAAATGTAAGCAGAAGCCTTACCTCATCAGGAGATAGAAGGTAAATAGGCGTTAACATAGGCATTTCACTTAATTCACAACTCAGGCCAAGTGATATCAGGATCTCCTTGAGAACTTCATATCTCTTGGTATTGCTTATCTTAAGCGAATTAAAATCCTCTTCAGTTTGGACATCCATAGAATTGATATCCAGTTCCAAGTGTGCCTGGCAGGATACGTGCAAAGGGAATAAAAAAATTATTTTGTATTACACATTTTAACATGGCACAGAGAGATAAGAACAGTTCCAAAATCAGCTTTGTCCTGACTGCGGTTCCTGAATTATCCAGTGTTAATAGTGCGATTTAAAAGCTTCTCATGTCTTCAACATATCTACCCAAGCAGGGCTTTATTATTTATTATCCTAATAAATTAGGGAATACCTATATATTTATAGTTTCTGATTCAGGGATCACAGTTGCCAGTACACTACAATTTTCTCTGAGAACCGCACAAAATATCCCTTCTTAATAAACTGGTCTTCTCCTGGTGGAGTTGTTCAAACTTGTATTTACTAAATTAAACTTCTCCTGCTTTTCACATTTGCTAGCAACCTAGAACCAACAGCAATATTGGTCATATTCTGGCTTGTACAAGAGCAGAACTACATTAAAATTGAAAGAGCTTTATCAGAGGTTGCACAAGATATGTAGAACTCAGGCTGAGCAAGTCCTTAATGTGTCACATGAATTAAGTTGCAGTCAATGCAGATAAAGAAATGCTTCTGTCTGAAAGAGAACCAAGAACCCCAGAACATCACCCTGTAGAGAATCACTTCTCAAGGCTGAAGCAGATGCTTAAAAGTAGAAATGAAATGCAGAAGGAAAAAAAAATCCCTTATACACCTCCTTTTCCGTTTGTTTTTGGTTTGGTTTTTTTTTGTGTGTGCGTTTTGTTGTGGTTTTTGTTTGTTTTTTAAATAAGTGTTCCAAGATATTTAGAAGCTTTTGTACCCTACTATATGTATATTCATTTAATGAAAATCACAAGCTATCATCTTTGTTCATTTCTCCAATTTTGCACATTTTAATGATGTTCTTCATCTTTCATATATGATCTACTTTATTGAAATTCAGGGAAATATGCTGAAATGGAGGGGGTGTGGAACAGAACAGTACAGAAAAAAGGGAAACAACAAGTCTGTGACAGAATATTTAATGGCTGATGTCACTGTCAGTCCCCTGAAGAAAAAACAATAAGGCTTTTCAAATCCAGACTGGAAGTCATTTAAAATTATAAAATGACACACTAATCCTTTTAATCTGATTTTTGAAGCTATACTGTAATGCCCTTTTTCTGGGGAAAACCTCTGCAGTATTAAGTTTTACTACAGCAGAAGGGGCAATTTAAACGATGCAGCAAAGCAGGTTTTACCATGGAACTTGCAGAAACAGATAGCAACAGTATCTAATCAATTTTCTAGTACAAGCATACAGCACATGGGTGGCAAAACTTCCTACATAAAGCTATAAAGATGCTACTATGTATAACAGAGTTTCCAAAAAGCTAGCAGATTTAATCTGATAAACTGGTAAGAGACGAAAATACTTCTAAGAAACCCGATGAATATTTCTGAATTACGTAATTGCTAAAAGAGTATATGCTACCTGATATGCAAGCAGTTAAATTTGAGTGCACTGGACTCCTGAGAAAGTTCTCCTGTAACTCAAATATTGGTAAAAATAGGTCCTAGAACCTTTCATAAAGTTTGTTCAGCTATGTCCCCATTATATTCCTCATCTACTTAATACTGGTAAATAAATCTTGCTCTGCTTTTCTCAATGTGCTGCTCGAAAGCACAGACCATGTAAGGAAAGTGGTTTAATTGTGAACAGCCATGCTAAAAAGAAAATGTTTACCTCTGCTCCTACTGAGGCTCACTCAAAACATCCAAGTTGCCTTCAGGCTCAATTTAAAAGTTTTACTATGAAATGGCTGAAATCTCTCTAGATTTAACAGCACAGGTTATACACAAAGGATGATACATACTTCTGGGGCATAGACTTAGTTTTCTAAACTTAATGGTACCTCTTATCAGCCTTTCTGTCACTCCAAACTTTAGCCAGATATCTGTGAATATTTAAATAATTGGTGACCAACATTTACCTTTAACACAGCCATGGAAACTTCCTCACCCATTATCCAGGAAGACAGAGTAACAATAACAAAAAAGATTAAGAACACTTGAACTTATCTGTTTAACTTTTTGAGGGTGTGCGGGTTTGGTTATTGGGGCTTTTTAAACAGAGATCATGATACAGTAACACTGGAGAGATACCTATTTGCTGGGATATTATTACTCTTCAGTAGAATGAATAAGATTTTGGCTCATTCTAGACTCGTTCATTTCTGTCCCTCAGGAGCTCTAAGCCATTTGTTAGGTGCAGAATGTTAAACATGTAAAAGTTTAAAGCCTGAAGGAAGACTCAAGAAACAAAAAAGCAAGTTTCCAGCGGACTAGATTCCCCCTCTCCCCACCCCACCCCCCAAAAAAACCCAGGAGCATATATTACTGACTGAAAACATGTCAAGGTTTAGAAAACAAAAAACAAGTTTTAGAACTTTTATTTTGATAGTAAATAGAAAAAACGCATTCCAGTTGAGTAAAGGGTTTTTTTAAATAGCAGAACAGCAAGGCCAACCATCGTGAACCCAACATGCATCTAGGAATTAGCCTTAATCAAAACACTGCTAAGGAAACCATAAAATGGTTTGCTTCATTCACAACACTAAGATACAAACAGAATATAACTAAGAAAATGGTAGCAATACTAGCAAAAAAAGAACCAACAGACCTAAATCAACAATGGCATTTCAGTGCTGTCAGAGACTAACCTTTATTGTGTAGTTACTTGCTCAAGCAAGAATTGTACAGCAGTTTTTCTAGACATGGCATGCAACAAGTAATAGAGGCTGGAATTCTCTCATCCACTAGTCAGATTTCCAGAATTGCTGGCTACCTTAACCTTAAAAGGAGATGTCTTTCAAGTTTCTTGCAAGGTTTATTTTACACCCTCTCCTGACATTCTGCTTCACCCATAGTTCATATCTTTGTAAGGATATCTCTTTTTTTATCTTGCCAGTATAAGCTTTCATCCCGAGTCCACCAACGACTCGGCTCTTCCTGTTCCCACCTCCCAAAATCTGCAAAATGCACAGTTGTATCACCGCACAACTTCTAGAAGGCAGAAGACGATAGCTCTGCTCTTGAAGATGCTTGCTTACCATGCAAATCTGCTCTCTCCTCTACCACCCACTGTGATCTTGTATGACCTACATGTGCATGGCTACATGGTGAAAACAGGGAAGTGGAACAGCAGTGACATTCTCTACCATTCTTTAAGCTTCCTGAGGACCAAGCGAAAACCATTCTGCATTGAGTCCTTGTACATTCACTGAGACATCCGTCTATACCTCCCCTTGACAAGCAGCCTCAAGAGCATGCAATGGGAACAAGTGAACTTTTTTAGCATACTACAACATCAGGTAGCAATGAGCAAATTAATGCTTCTGCATACACAGTACCTGAGAAAGAATGGCTTCTCCTCCACTGTCTCCATAAGTCAGATGAACAATAACTGTATCTTTATCAGCATTATTTAATTGACTCAATGTCTTCACTTTGCTGGTATCTTCCTTCATCACTTCCTCAAAAATACAGCCACTGACCAAAAGGTTTAACTTAATTTCAGTGCTGTCTGTTTTAGAGACCACTAATTCACGAACAGTCTTCAGTTTGCTTTTTCTCTTTATTTGTATGCCATCAAATGTAAAAGATGAAGAAAACCCTAGAATCTTTCCACCTTTAGATAAAAACTTCATAAATTGTTTGTGGTTCTCCTCAGAAATAGGTTCCTCTGTGGCAATGATCAACAGCAGTGAATTATCAATCCACGGAGCCTTCAGAACCTGTTCCTCATGCAGCTCATAGATGGCGTAGCTGTCTGCATCAATGCATTCCTGAAGGATTGATTTTACCTGCTCAAATTTCACTTTTGCAGTTTCAGAGCCAAGATAAATCAATACATTAGGGGGCTTTCCCGCAAGGTTTACTCTCTTTATTCCTCTTGCTAGACAGTCATCATTCTTCTCTTCCAGTTTGCTATTGCAGTCATCAGAAAGTTCTGGAATGTTTTCTGCAGAGGCAAATCTGACCGATTCAATAGTACTGTTTTCAAGTTGCAGGCATTCATGACAGCTGGAAAGATGCAAGTGATGATGGTCTCCAGCACCTGTCTCTTTGTCAGATAGACTGTTGGATTCATCTTCATGCTCGCTTTCTTTCTCTAGCTTGGATTTCTCTTGTCCTGCAGACTCAGCTACTCCTAATCCTGATTTAACAGTAGTCCCAAAAGTAGCAGCAGGAGTTACTTCATCCATTTGTGTACTGCTTACACTTTGCTCTTTTACAGATGGTGCCACCTGTGCCAACTCCTTCAGAGTAGATTCCTGTAAATGGACAGCTGGAACAGTTAAAGAATAAGAAAAAGGGGTTATAAAAATTATATTAAAAGAGCTATGATGAATATCACTACCACAGTGGGATTTAGATTTAATTTCAGTACAAGTCATCTATAATAGCACGAATTTCACTTGTTTGTTTGACACACCAAATCCTAACCCCTCCCCAAGAACATAATAAATTTCCACTCATAACACAAGTCATTTACTCTAATGACTCTTTATTTCAGGAAAGTCTGACTGAGAGCACAACACTCGATATTTACAGGGCACATTCCAACAAACTAACATGTATTGTGAGTGCAAAAACATCTGCACAAAAGTAAAACATGACAGGTACTGTACACAATGCAGATGTGTCCTTAACGGAACAATAGGCTATGGGTGGGAAGGTGAGGAAGTTCTCATGAATGCGTCACCTTGTCAGCTTCTTATTTTGCCTGTCCCTCTGTCCCCATCAAAGGACAAAATGGACCAAGGGAAGTACCTTTGGAAAAACACTGGTCTCTTAAGGAGGGCAGGGTGGAAAATTGCTTGCTGCTATTTTGGAATAAACTATTTTGATATAAGCTAATAAAGTGGTGATATTGGGTAAGACGGAGACATTGAACCATGTCTCTTGCATTGCTGCAGAGAGAAGTCTGGCACAAGTAAAAGGGAGTAAAAAAAATCTGAATTGCTTTCAGTCTGCAGAAAGGGAGTCATACGCACCCATAGCAAGACTTGGGAGCCAAGAATCTGAGGGAAAACTAGCAAATAGGAAGAATAGTTAAACCTTCCCCTTTCTCCCCCTGAAAAGGATAGAAATGGGAAGATGAAAAATTTTTGGCGAATACAAGTGAGAAAAGAGTGGCAAAAGATGATTATTGTCAGCGTGAAACTTGCAGAGCAAACTAAATAAGAAAGAGGAGAGGAAAAGTACTCTTCATAAGGTAATTTTTTCAGCTGCTGAGCCATGAAAATATTTTCATTAAAAGTCTGCAAAATTTTACTGAATCCATCTCCACTCACATAAGGCCAAATAAACTTAGTATGCTTTTGTTTCTGATTTCTCAAGGAAATTCAGTGAGAAACTTGATTAACAAAATAGTCAACTGGCACAGAATACACTAAATCCAAGTTCAATCACTTTCTTTGCTTAACAACACTTGCATTGCCTTGAAACCATATTCCCTTTGCCTAGTTTGGAGCAGAAATTTGAAGCAAGATTTTTTCACATCCCAGGAGAATTTCACAGCTACCAGCCTATACACTATTCCATCAACAGCCTGTTCTCCTGGAGCAGTTCTAGCATGCACATGGTACCTGAAGCAAAACGAGCCAGAAAACGTTCTGAAAAGTAAATGACTGGGGCACTCTTTCACCTTCCATCCCCTCCTTGTGTGAATATTTTTGCAGAACAGCACCAAGAGACAGAGTTTCACATCAGATGCATTTGTGAGCATATTCCTACCCACTTGCACTCCAGCTAGCTGTTCTCCATTTTGTCACTCCCTGACTTCTGCCAAAGCGCTATTATCTACATAAAAAAAAACAATCAAGCAAACAAAAAAAACCCCACAACCAAACACAAAAAACCCCAAACCAAAACAATAAACCCAACCCCCTTTTTTGGGGGTAGGGGAGGGGGTAGCAGGGAAGAGAATTTTTTTGTAGCCCATATCATTATTTTATTATTCTGAGTGACCCACAGTTTTATCAACACAGCTGAGAAGACACAACTAGGCAGGAAGAAATGAGACTGTTGCTAAACAAAAACAAACAAACAAACACACACACCAAAAAACCAACAACAACAACAACAAAAACCAAAAAAGCATGGCTCTACCCCCAAGAGCTCACTACTCTACAATACCCTACAGACTGCATATTATGGCACTTTTAGAACAGTGCTGGAAAAAAAGAAGTTCAAATCTCATGCGGCAAAGGGAGGTGGAGCTTGGACTTCCCACAGCCCAGACAACAATTCTGTTTAAGAATGGTGTTACAAGTGCAACCACGACTACTTCCTTCTCCTCTCTGTGGAATTAGCCATGAACTCCCTTCCTGCCTTAGCTGAAACTATTAAACTAATGAAGACATAGTTCTGATATCATTAAAATCACCCCCTAAAGAAATAAACCATCCACCAAAAATTCAAAATTCAATTAGCAATGACACGACCCTCCTTCCCCTGGTTATCCCTTTCCCTGTTTAGAAAGCATCTGTGAGCTTTTCTCTCAGTGTTCTAAAGGATTAAGGTGCTCAAGTTACAGAAATTGTTCTCAACCTATGTTTAGCTTTGAATACACTTTTTTTTCAAATCTGAAAAAAAAGAACATTTGCCTAAAACCTTCTGTATTTTTTTTTCAAATAGATTAGTTAATCTAACAGACAAGAGTTACAGAAACAATATTTTCTAACTTCACCTTTGTGACATTTATGCATTCATGCATTTGCAAAAGCTTAAACACCATCCTGGATACTTGGAGATCTCATCATACCAAGATTAATTACTGGCAGTAGCTTATGAGGCATTAAAGAAAAAGAGGGGGATTTATTAAAAAAATATTTTGATCCATTTTTCTTTTATTTCTGTTGCTGTATTTGTAAGACGTTCTGTAAGGAGAGAAACTCACAGAAAAAGTAGTCTAACTTTTCAAGGATGTCTATATTTGACAGCATTCAGTATAAAATACGGTAGTGCTACAGAGTGATCAACTGCCTAGAATGACAAGAGGAAGAAAACATTGTGCCAAAATAAAAGCATGGGTTTTTATGTAGGTATAAAGACTATATGCACAGTCCTAAAATAACCATGAAATAAACATGATCTACCATTAAAAACAATTTGTGAAGATACTTACAAACAATCTTGTGTGGCACCATTCCATTATCCATTTGAAGCCTGTCTTCCATGAATGCTATACCAAGGTTACTGAAATTATCTACACTTGCTTCAGCAATTAACTTATAAGGCTCCCCAGCTTTATAGGCCAATGGTGAACAGTAGTCTGACCACTTCACAACCTAGAATAAAGCATACACGTGTTTTTCAGTTTGAAAAGGTTACAGAAAAATATCAAAATACCAACAGTATTATGAGTCTGCAAGATGAACTGCAAACAAAAACTGCCCTTCCTTCCCGAAGGATTCTGCTATTAAAAAGCAGCAAAACAGTAGCAGAGCCAACAAAGGGACTTTATGTCAAAATGGCACAACTGGCAAACCCAAGGACTGGAAGTAATTTTAAAAAAAGTACTTTAAAAAAAAAAAAAAACAAAGCGTAGCTAATAGGATTACAGAATACTAAATTGCCAGAATCACTTTTAAGACTTGTTTCTGTGATGCCTGATGTGTTTAAAACAGCTACTACATTTAATAGTATCATGAGACAGCACATCTCAACTAGAGAAGGCTTTCAGTTGTCAGTTCCTTTCACACAAAAGCGCACCCTTCATGACTACAAAGGTCAATGTATGAGACTGAATACAACCAAAAGAACCTACTGAGGAAGGGTAGCAAGCAATACCCGCTACACGATTCAGTCCTGAGGGAAGTAAACAAAGCAACATCCAGGCTAAGTGTTGAAAGCAAACTGGGAGTACAAATACATCTTCCCCAAAGATCAAGGCTATAAAAGCTTCAAGCAACACACAAAAAGGCAGGAGAGCATTATCACATTCTATAAGTAAAATTCTATTTGTATTTATTTCCAAGACATAGCTTTCAGCACAAATTCTAAAAAGAATGCTGATAAAAAGAGCAAAAGTAAACTACTAGGGTTTAATAAAAGTACACACTGACTATCAGAAGCATTAACTAAACACAGAAGATTCAAGCTGCTTATCTACATCAAAAATTCTGTTCTCCAGAAAAGAAGCATTATGAAAGTGACACACTTAGGTTTGTTTTCTTCAATAAGGTTTGTTAAACACAAACTACACAGCCGTACCCTCTTGAAGAACAAGTTTCAAGTTTAACTATAAAAGCAACAAGTGGGGGGAAAGTGAAAAGTTTTGGTTTCTTTCTGAAAGGTGGACACATTAATAAAGACTACAAATCTGTCTGCTGACTCATAACTGAAAATGACCCCTTTTAAACCTTATGTTTATAAAACAACAGTACCAAACAAGACAATATTCAGACAATTGACAAACACAGTGATATAAGAGTCAATTCTGAAAGCAAAAACCAAATAAGGCACCCGATTTCAGTAAAAATTGTGTGACTGATACCACAGCCTTTATCCTTCATAGGATACACAAACCAACTGTTCTCCTGTAAAGGCATTTTTAGAGACAATGAAGCACCATCTGTTTTCATGACCTAAAAAAAAAAAAAAATTAACCTTTGCCATGTAATATGTTCCAAACACCGAGAGGCAAAGCACAATTCCCACATAGCAACTCCAGCACTTTGACACTGTCATCACCAAACCACTTCCATGAAGTTCACCCTTTTATCACTACACACAAGATGTAACACACTGATTAAACACAGTAAGAAAAAACACTTTTGTTGAATGCACAAAATGAGAGTGAGCTCTTGGATATTTTACTTGTTCATAATTAGACCATCAGCTAAAATTACCTTTTTATCTACCGCAGTTAAGTGGTTTACATAATATTTAAAAAAAAAAAAAAAAATCTATTTCCAACTTTTGACTTTACAGTATGCCCCAAGGGAACAAGAAGAAGAAACTCAGATTTCATACAACCTTAATGATCACATGTCCTTTCTAAATCATTCTCAAAGACAATCTCTGATTAGTGCAACCCAGAGGAGACCAGCCAGTCCTTACTCATATTGGCGGCCTTTGGATACCTAACAAGAAAACTGGCTGGGTATCTTCTGATACATCACCTATACCAACTCTTAGTGAACAAACTCAGTTTCAAAAAGAGAAAAAGATAGCAGTGTGTGGGTAGTGTGTTGGTGTTTACCACAAGGTCAGCTGCATGCTTTAACTGATAGGTTAAATTCCAACTCTGTAACACAAGAGAAAGTAACAGCTTCAAACCAGCCACACCAGGACACACAGTTGTGAGAGCCAGCCCTCAAATTCATGACAGGTGTATCAGTCAGGTCCTGAACTTCTGGACATAACCACTCACTAGTAAAAGCAACAACAGTGAGTTTCTACCTCCAGGACCTTCTGAAAGGTCATCTCCATGACTGTACCACAAAGAAATACCAGCTCTGAAGTTACAGGATATATTTCTGGGCACCCTAGTATTGACCTGTTCTGAAGCAAAATAAAATCTCCTTCTGGAAGATAGCTATGCCAGACCCTGACAGATTTGAATCACTGTAGTTGGAGCATCAGTCAGACTTCATCCCACTGTCACTAGGGAAGTCTGTGACCAAGTCAGGCAGAATTGCCCCAACCAACTGCCTTGAGTGATGACCTGGACAACACCATCGCTTTCCAGATGGAAGGTATTCCCAATTGTGTTTAGTCTATTGGTACAACATCCACAGCTTTAATGGAAGTGTCCAGTTGTAGTTGTAAGGCATAAAACTCTAAGGGCCTGCTGCTGTTGGCAATTCACGATCACCAGTGACAAACATGGCAGATACATTTATGATATTTATGATTATTGTGATATTTATAATACCAGCTTCCTTCTCTATTTTCCTCAGCATATGACTCTGGGCTAGTCTCTATGGTGGAGGGTAAGAGACTCTCACCGTATTTAGATATCCTTTCTTACCCAGAGAACAGGCACAAGCAGGTAACACCCACATCACCTGGAAACTGTGAGGAGGGCATATTGATGGTCTTCAGCCTTTTTTCATGGCATCAAGTAAAACATTAGACATCCTAACAAGTAAAAAGTAGTTATTGCTGTCTAGTGCGAATAAAGTGAATACACAAAAGAACCTTGCAAAGTAAGGCTGTTGCCAAGACGTATGACCTGTAATCCTGCTCATGCAACAACGACTTTCTTCACAGCACAACAAAAATCCTCAGAAAATATTTTCAAACAGGCCAAGCTTTCCTGCTACAGCTAGAAATCTTCATCAAAATTTTGTCAGAATACAAAATTAAAGGCCAGGTCTCAGTAAGATATGAGAAATTATTTATACTCCTGCTTTCTGAGTCCACCTCAGTTTCAACAGAAACCAGTCACAGATCACTGATAGCCCTACAAAGAATGGGGTTTCTGTCTAGAAATTATCATAGGTCACAGGGAGCAATCTGTTCTTACAGCTCCTGTCTATGTCGACAGCTGGCTGACAGAGGTAGCAGAATTAAAAGCACTTTGCTAGAAGTGACATGTACACAGGAGAACAATAAACAAAATAAAACAGCAGTCCTTTTCCTCTTTAGTTTCGATCTTTTGCCTGGACTATCACTTCTGAGCTTGACAAATCATATTAATTATTAACGTATACATAAGAACGCAAACATTTTCCATTCTAAAGAAAATGCAAACAAAACCAACAAGATTAAAAAACTCCACTGAACAATAAATCCCAAAAGAACAACAAACCAGAGCTTCAACTCAGACGTTTTTGTGGACCTCTCTGCTACAAAAAAAAGTAAAGTTTACAAAAAAAATCTCCCTTAGCCTTCTGTCCAAGTTGGCCCAGCACCCCCCAGGTGCGCTCTGAGACAACGTAGGGAGCACAGCAGGTATTCTATCTAGTTTATCTCCTAGAAGCAGAGCCCCCACCTGGATGGATTCCACAGTCTTTACATCAAAGGCAATAAAAACATTTACAAACCAGCTAATGTGGCTACTTCCTGTGTGCTCCAAGGAAACACGAAGTCAAGACTTCAGCAGAAAAGATCTCAGAGTTCTCAACAAGCTTTCAGTGTCTCCAGTCCTCACACTCTGAGCTTCATGGAGATAATGATTTTGCCTGATGCAGCACTTCACCTGGACACCATTCCTCTAGAGGGCAAAGACTAATATGCTCCAAATGCATGCTCTGTTCTAGAATTGACAGGCCTCCATGGAGTGTGAAGGTACTAAAAATTTGATTGCAGGCACAAATCTGTAATTGTGCCCATTCCCAAACTGTCCTTCTGTTCCTGCACTCAAGTTAGATAAGACTATTTACCAACCACTCTGTTCTCAATGTTCACTCCAGCAGAAGACTCCTGGATCATCTCCCAGAACAAGTGGCCTGGAATATGTATGTTCCTCATCCAGGGAAATGGACAGGCCGCAAGCACCTGTGTATGTGACAGGTTTCCTTTAACTCCAAAAAGGAGCTTGAAACCTGGTGCCAAAAAGCAAGGATGACAGATTGCCCTTTAAGGTGCCAAGCAGGGACCATTCAGGAAGACACCTTATCAACTGCCCCCAGGTGGTGATGCCAGCCTGTGGCATAGCCTGTTCAATGGGAGAGCTCTGTCGATTTTATGGTACCCCAGCGACCAGGCCAGAGGTTTTATTATTGCCTACCCAGTGACATCCTAGCATGCGTGTCTTTCCATTTCTCCTCTTTCCAGCAGTCAATGAGGTCCATTCTGTCCTCTTCACTACAGAGAGCATACAGCACACACAACAACTGACTGCCTTAGGAAGGAACTATGACAACGTGTACTGCTTAGAAGATTTTTCCTCCCTGCAAAGTACATTTATCTTTTGCTTTGGGTTACAACCTTTCACTCCCTTCAGACCTGCATCCAAGCTGAGATGCCTAGGAAGCAAGCATGCCTCCTGTGAGGAAAAAGTTATAAAACCAACAAAATTTAGGGGAGAGAGAGACACTATCTCAAGTTCATAGTAAGTTTTGATAGCGTCTGGATACTATTTTTATGCATAATCTGTTTAGAGATGCTATACATTCAGTAATTCAAGTTTTAGAACCTCATCTTTTAAATCCACATCTTGGCACTTTCAATATATTAGTGGAGAAGACACTTTTTAGATTTCTAAGTATCTAGGACATGGACATTTTGTGAGTATGCTTGCCATAAGGATTTCAATACTAGTTTAATTTATATCTTTGGATGCCTCAATAACATTTTGTAAGTATTACGCATTAAAAGGCAAACACAATTTATAAAATACCAACCAAGAAGTATTGCCATTCCCCCACTGCATTTTATAGAAAAACAAAGAGATTAAAAACTTGATTTTGGCCTTACTTCTGCAGATTGACAAAATCAATCAAACGTATAATACTTTAACTTGTACTTATAAATCACAACAAAAGGAAGCTTCCAAGAGAGACTTCTATTTCAATTACGACTTTTCACAACCGCTTGGCTGGAGGCTTGAAGAGCTTTTCAGAAATCTTAACATATGCTTGCTCTCTATATTCTTACTGAGGCATTTGTTTCAGCTAGTGTCAGAAACAGGATACTGAGCTACATGGACTTCTGATCTGCCTTAGGATGACAGCTTTCAAGCATTTTTTTCCTATTCAGTGTATCTAACCATACATGCCTCATCCAAAGTCACAATGGAATTCTGCAGTCACCATCCATGGCCAGGGAAGTGTGCTACTAAAAAAATCACAATCTATCTGCCACTGATTTTTTTCCTTCAAGTGTTTTAGGTTTATACCTACCAAATGACCTATCTGTACTACTTTCTATGCAAGAAACAAAGAGAACTACTTACCTCTTTTGAAGAGCCAGGCACTTTCTGCAAATTATCTGTCTGAGCTGAAATGCTTTCTGTCACAAAAGCTATATGTTCTGCTTCAAGTAACTTATCAGGATAAATCATAGGAGAAATGAGAAGCAAACTCCATCTGTTTAAGTCATCAAGGAACTGAAAGAGACAGGAAAGAAAAATAAGTCTGTATAGAACGCACCTGATTTCATAACTCATTTTTAAATTATGTCCAGCCTAAATTCAAATGTGACCCTTCAGCCTTACATAAAGGTTCTCTACCATTTCACGTTCCCCATGAGGGAAAAAAGGGGTAAAGGTCTGAAGCATTAAGCAGGAACACATTAAAAATAAAACTAAAAGTGACAACCAAGCTTTTAAGCCAATTCAGACTCCACCTTTCAGCTTTACAGGATGAGTGCACAAGTGAGGGGGCCGGGAGACCACTATGCCATTGGTACTGCGACTGTTGTGGGCCATTTGCCACTGGCAACATCCCTCTTTCAACCCGATCCTCCTCTCCCATTCACACCGCAGTTCACCCTGCCTCTTCCTTCCTTCCCTCTTCTCCCCTGACTACACAAACCCATGGCCCTGCTGTCTCAGTTCTGGTGGCTGAAGGGCACCGTCCGCTACTTGGCAGGGACTGGCAAGGGACTTGCTGCTAAGTCATATACACTGTCTCTATACCCAGCTGCCAAAAGACCCACCGAACTGTGAGCCACAAGTGACCCAAGAACTATATACTACACAGGTTTAATTTTTAGACCTAATTTACAAAGTTTCAAGACTTCCTTTGTAAAGCCAGTTATATAAAGACAGTTATATTTTGCGGACATGTACAATCCCAGGACAAATTCTTTAAAAAGTGATTTGAAAAATCTTAAAAAAAAAAATTTGAAATAAAAGGAGAGGGTACTTTTTTTTTTTTTTTTAATATATTAAGTCCTCATGCATTTGCACCAAAATTACTCATTCAGTATGTAACTCTAAGTTTAGAGTTAAAGAAAAAACTCATTCAAAATACATTTGTCCATAAGGTAGTCTATCCACTTTAGCAGACCATTGTACAAACGTTTCCTTCATTAAATTATAAAGACGGTTCCCTCTCTTGTCCTCACAAATGAGCAAATAAAGCTCAATAGCTGGAATCAGTAGACCGAAGAACAGTTTTAAGAACCTCAAAGCTTCGCAATACATAATCTGATCCCACACCATATTACATCAATTTTTATGTAGATATTGCATTGAACTTAATTTTTTTGTCATAGTTTAAAAGTGGCAAACATTAGAAATAGATATTTTGCTACTACTATACTAGAAACACATGCTTTGCACATCTTCAGTAATTTTATGTGGAAACATAAGAGAATTTCCCCATAGCACACTAAATGTGTACATCACTCCACATCTAAAATGAAACTGCACAATATTAAGTCTATGGGGATAGATTGCCAATTGAACCAGCTTTACTGAGCAGAGCAGCTGCTAGGGTAAACATTGCTACCTTCCATGAGAAAGTTAACTGAACTTATGAAGCACTATATTATCTTAAGCATCCAATCTGATTAAAGATTAAACAAAAAAACTTCACAGGTTACGATTTATGATTTGCTGGTATCTTATCTTAAGGAAGTTACTGACCACAGTCCAGAGGCAGTTATACCTACTCGGAAAGCAAAGCAGCTCAGCTAGCTTCCTAGAAGCCAAAAAAGCATGCTACTTAATCTTTTTCTCTTCACAGTGTTCACAGATGATGTAGAGAGCTCCTCAGTGATGCTGTCTCTATCTTTAATGCAGCCAGATCAGAGCCTTTATATGCCACACTACCGAGGTGCAGTGTGGCAGGCAACTTCCACAGGGATTCTCAGAGCAACTGGTAACTTTCAATACATATTTTCAAGAGACAAAACACAGTTTGAGTAATAGCGTTGACTTTATGCCAAACTGCAAGGCAAACTACAGTTCCCTAGAGGGTTTCCCAACTCCCAATAAACACAAATAAACTGACAAGCTTATAAAGTCAGTCTGCATGAATAACATTGCAGACAGAAAAAAATGTGCTTACTGTGCAAGGACCAAGGAGAAACTATTTCAGAAATGAGCATTAGTGGAGCAAAGAACAACATAAATTAGTTGAAATATGATTTACAAAACAATAATCCAGGCCAACTGAGGCCGAACTCCTCTAAACACACGGACAATTATTTGGTTTTGGTTTTAAGAGCTTTATCGAAATATGAACTATGCATTTAACTTTCCTGGGAGAGATTCTGAGATTGTCACCATCGCTTTTAAATATGAAATAATCTGCTTATTACGTAGCAAAAAGACTATTTTTGAGCAAACACCATTAGCATTTGTGATCTTATTCTCACTGCACTGAAAAATATCCTCTTTACACACTGAATTTATGAAAAGCTTCTCTGCTTTTAAAGAGTAGCACTTAGCCAACGACAAATACATTTCAGTAACACCGGTTGAAGTGAAATGTGAAACAACTGAGATAATTTCCACAAGCACACATATAAATATCAGCAGAAAGGAGATCAAGAAGATTCTTATCCACAGGAATTCTGGTATTTAGCAACAAATTTAGACAAATCCAACATTCATTTAAATGATTCAGATGATGGGGGGGTGGGGGGGTGGGGGTGGTGCCAGAGGAGTTACACTCCTAAACTTGAAAGGCGGAAGCAAACTTACTTTCAGTTTTATTTCATGAGATGGCAAGTGTAATTTGTTCAGGCACGGTATTTTCCACTGTCATGGGCTACCACAGCCTCACCCCACCCTCCTCTCTCACTGTCCTTTTGCAAAAAAGGGATTTTCACAGATCTTGTTTTTCATGTCATTTTCCTCACTTGAAACAACGTTTGGTATCGGGAGAAGCCCGCAGTTCTCCATAACCATAAGTCAATTCAGACTCCATTACAGATTCAGCTACATTTTTAATCTCTGACACACATCTTGAATGCACAAACACAGCAAACATTTTTAGACTAAAGCCTTGCATGTGCTAAAAGTTTATTACTAATATGGAAATACTAACAAGCTGTCCTAAGTGCTTCTATTGCCACAGCTGTACTTACAAAGCTGCACCTCACACGCGTGTGGTAAAACACACTCCTCAGCCCACTCCCTAAGCCAGCGACCTATAGTAGTGAAGAGAGGTAGCTACAACCGTACCAAGATTTTCTACCAAGGCAATTACCTGGGCCTTATCTGAGCCTGACCCTTGACAAGCAGGACTGTGACAGGCCTGGGAAGCTACACGAGGCGTTTTTTTCAACCGCAAGTCCCAGCCCGCCACTGACACGCTCGCTGTCACGCGCCGAAAGAGCAACCGCTGCTCCCCTTTCCCTCCGGGCTCCGCCGCCTCAGCCCACGGCCGCCGCCCCCCCCCC